ATAAAAATAAAACTGTCCTGGGAAGTCCTCAAATAGGCTTCACTTTGATTTTCAAATGAAGATGTACCCAAAAACACAGGGAGGAAAAGCAAAAGTCCTAGGCATGCCAAGTTTGCATCATCATACCACCACCTGCGGGCCTTGATCCCTTCATTGGTTATGGGTGGCCTCCAACAGCTGCCAATTCCTACTACTTGCAGTTACAGTTTCTAAGCAGAGTAAATATGATGACAACAATGGAAGATATATGGAGGAGCTGTGACTTGGGGGTCCTCCTGAACTTGTGCTTAAAGCTGTGATGAAAGCAGCGAAAGTTGGGGCCAGGGGATAGGTTGCGCACCAGTCATTAGCCTCTTGAACCAGGTGGCCCTGATGACAATAACGCATGCCCTGATCACCTCTCAGGTGAGCTACTGCAATACATTCTGCATAGGGCTGCCTTTGGAGATGACCCAGAAGCTACAACTGGTACAGAATGTGGCACCTAGATTCCTGACAGGAAAACCCCCCCAGACTAGAAAAACACCAACTCTGAAGTTGCTGCACTGAAAGCCAGCAGGTTTCTGGGCATAGCTGGGAAACAGTAGGTAACGCTTTGCCAGAATTGAGTTTGCCTGTGCTGCCTGCTCATCAAGAAAAAGCCTGCTGCCATTTCAGCTCCTCCTTCATGAGATACAGAGGGTATGGACCAAGTGCCAAACTTCTCAGTGGTGGCTCCCATTTATGGAAAACTCTCCTTCCAGAGGGATGGGTGGCAAGGTTGGGGTAACCTAAACAAGCATAAGCCTTAGTTTAGTTTATTTTGGGCACTTACGATCATGTGATTCCTTGATGATGTGATATTACTTTTAACTGTCCATATTGGATTTTATGTCTTCATTTTTGGCCTTTCTGTATCTTACTCAGGGTCTGCCAGGACTGGAGCAGATCTTAAATATTGTAAATAAGTACTAAATAAATAAATGTTCTTCAGACAAAGAAGACTTATCTTGCTACCGAAGGGAACTCCCTGAAGCAAAATAATTTTTTTCATCTATATTTACCATGTAGGCCGGGGTGTGCAATTTTTTGTAGCCAGAAGCCACATTTTTTTTTTTTTTGCCTGTTTGACGAAAGGGCGAGACAGATCCTAGTGATACTATCGTTGAAATGGGTGGATGGGGGGCACCATTTTCGTCCCCCCCCATTTGAGATGAGGATTAAAGGAGAAAATGGGTAAAGCCTTGGCTGAAGATATCCATTTTGCCTCTTAAAATCCCACAAAACTGGTTAAAATCAGTTAAATGGGATTGGGATATTCTCAACTGTGAAAGAGATGCCTTCAAGCAACACCTAAGGCCCCTTAAAGCCCCCAAACCCAAACCACAGAAGGGGAAGAAGGTTGGAGTTTAGTGTGGGGGACACGCAGGGTGGCTGGAGTCTGCATGGAGCTCTCAGCTTTGTTTTTTGTTTTTTTAGTTTTGCCACTAAGATGCAGCTACTTAAAATCTCACAAACTCCCCATCAAAAGAGTTGACTCTGATGAAAAACCAGCAGCGACTGATATTTGGTTTCACCTGGAAGAAGAGCCATCTCTTGGGGAAATGTGGCACTTATGCTGTTTCTGAGAGGAACTCAGACTGCTCCTGTGAAGAACACTTTTATTTCTTTATTCTCCTTGCACACGTATCCTTTGCACCAATTCAGAAACTCTATCCTAGTTTTTCTGTGCTGCTTCTAGAATCTGAAACACTTGCTCAAGCAAAAAAATGACCAGTGTTTTAACTCTTTTTAGCTTGCTTTACTTAACTTCGCAAATATAGATTTTTAAGCAGTTTCTGGGTCTCAGGATACAAACTGGCTCCAAGAGTGTTGAACACAAGGGGTGCTCAGAAGGGGACTCTGTTCAGTTCAGAATCCAAGAATGACAAAAGAAGGGACGATTATCAAACAACCCCCAAGAAGCACAGAAGAGCCACTCACATTAACCAAGCCGAAGTAATGTTCATTCGCAGGAAATTGTTCCGGACCAATCTCTTTCTCCAAAGCAGAGGCATTGGCGCCCTGGAAGAAAAAACAAACTTATCAAGGAAACAAAAGACTAAGAAGTGCAAAAATTTTACATAGATGCATCTCCGAGCAAGAAGAATTCACTCTTACACATACAACAGGTAAATCCCACATTACAAGAAATGATCTTCTGCTCCAACAAGAGGAGCTGCCATTCCCCTTCCCCTCCCAGCAACACAGTACACTGCTCAGATTTGCACTGGTGGGCCTCCAAACCCTCAAAGTAAATTTGGGGGACAGAAAACGCTACAACCTGCAAAAGGAGAATTCTACCAGCAGAATACTAGACCGAACTCTAAGTAATATTCTGCTGTTATTATAGCACTCCTATCTTCCATTTAGTAACCTGGTCCATCTGCAACTTATCAAAACATTGAGAGCCTCTTTCTACTCCCTAGACCATATTTATTATAAAGAGCAGATGCAGTCAGTACTATAGTGAATATACAGGTATATTCAGCAGCAGCAAAAGTGAAGCCAAAACAGCATATGCTTTCCATCACGCTACATGGCCAACAACTAAAAGCTGTTGTTGACTTAGTCTCTTGGAGAGGGGAGGGATGGATCTCCCTTCCATTCTACCTGGCACTGCCAGTTATCTACTAGGCTGCAAGCCTTCTGCAATGCCCAGTACCAAGTTTAAACTCAGCATTAAGCATTTCACCGCAAGCATGTACGTTTTTGTGTGTGTATGTGTCTCTCTCTCTCTCTCGGCAGTTGCCTGGAGTCACCACTGATTCAAAGGTGTACATACATATATATGGAAACTGCTGTTTAGATATAAAACACATTTTCAAGATTGTGTGTTCTTTCAGTTAGGGTTTCCAAATTCACACATACAGTTAGAAATGAATACTGCCAAGCAGAAATTCACTGCTATACATAATCATACTTTGCAATCAAAGTTTCATAGGAAATGTGTTTATGTATAAGGAAAAGCACCTCCTATGCACAACAGAATGGAAGAAAACAAGGAATGGAACCCTAGAGTAGACTGCTGAATGCAAACTAAGTGAGAAATTTGATTTTAAAAAACCATTAAATTTATTATAGCTGCCCACTCTAGCAGACTCTGATTTCCTGAACATGTGAAAGAATATGTGGCTACTACTGTCATATTTAGCAAGGTTGCCATTGTGCATGCTGTCAGGTCTCAATTTTAAATCTTCTGTTAGTGTCCCACTTACTGTTCATAAACACTTGAACATTCTGCATTTTCTCTGTTTAAAAATGGAATGCTATAGACATGCCTTGACCACTAAAAAGGTAAAGATTCCTTTGAATAGAGCTGGATTCCTGGTGACTTCATGGACATATCCTCAGAATTTTCTTGGCAGTTATAAAGAAGTTGTTTCCCATGGCTGCTTTCATGGCCTTTTGCCAACTTCAAGTCTAGCCTAAAACGCTGGAATTTCATAGGGTTCTCCCAACTAGGCATTTATCCAACCTTGCTTAGCTTTTTAGTGATCAACCAATTAACAGCACCTTCTCCTTCTCTCTCTGATTTATATCCCATGTTCAGGAGCAAGACAGATATATATCACTCTCCCTTTTCATTGTTCCTCACAATATTTTTGTGAGGTGGCTGGACTAAGGAAGAGTGACTGGTTCAAAATCATTCAGTGAACTTCTGTAGCTGAGGGTGGAATTGGCCCTTTTGCTACTGGACATCTCACATTACTGGAGCTCCATTGCTAAAGACCTAGAATTAAAGCCATTCATCATGAAGCAGCAGCAGTGTGCATTTTACAGAAAAACAAATGAGGTATAAGGTCTCTGCTTGAAGAATGGACAGTGTAAAGCAATAGAAGGAAGATGGAGCTGAGAGTTTCATTTAGACAAACTCAAGCTTCATTTCCATTCCAGATTCTGCCCATACGTTGCCTTCACATCAGTGAATGTTGAAGCATTTGGTCTAATTGCTGAATATCACTGGGACATATGAACTTTGGGAAATGCATTTCAATACTCACCTGTACTATTTGATACACTGCCTTGACCGTAGGTTATTAGAAAAAAAAATAAAATACAAAGTGCTGCTTATAGAGTATAAACAAAGCTTGAAACATCATGGACCACACAAAATGAAATGTCCTTAGAAAATCAATAAAATGGTCTTCCATTGAAGTATATCTCAGATTTCCTATTGCTAAGGCACATCTCTCTTTATGTTCCCAAGTATTACTTCTATTTTTTGTAGCTGAGTTGACCAAGAGCCAAACTGCAAAGGGAGATATGAGAGAGATGTAGTAAATTAAAGAGTAAAATAAAATAGCATAGGGAAGAAGGAATATCCTTCACTAAAACTATAGAGCATCTACAACTCCTAATTTCATAGAAAACACTTTGAAACTGGCCTTTAATAGAGCCATTTCCTGAAATCTTACACAGATGCATTACCCTCCCTTGCAGTTGAACTTTCAGATCTCAAAGCTCCCTTTCAAAATTATGAATGAACTTCAAGATATAGCATGTAACCATTTCAGCTAGACAACAAACAAGCAAAGCCTGCTAAAAACATCCTGGATAAAGTTTTGCAATTGGGTTTTGGCGAGGACTGCCAATGTATTTCTCTCTCTAGAAACCAGACAGTTTCATCTCTTGTATAACTCAAAACTTCTGTGGTTCAGTCTCCCCTCTGAGCTGAATAAAAAATCTGCTTCTTCTCCAACTTGGACAACAGAAGGTCTTCAAGGAGGTGTGAGTGAATTGAACGAGAGCGTTTTCGGAGAAATGTCTTTTCAAGTTCAAGTACTTGGTGGTTTTCAGCAAGCCCTTGGAGGCTCCAACAACTTTTAGAACCTCAGCCAACAGACAAGTGATGGCAAGGTTTCCTCTATTTCCATTTAAGTGCATCCATCTCTTAAAAAAAAACTTGCTTTCAAAATGCCATCAATAACATCTTTACCTCCACAATGGATTGCTGACACCATTATCAGTACAACTTTCCAGGAGTGAAAGGCAGGGCTTAGCTTCCTGTTTCAGAAAGTGCCCAGAGGATTAAACTGATCCTAAAACACAATACACGAAATAGAACCTTAACAAGGATCCAGGAGGCTTTTGGGCTCCTGGGCTGGAAGTGGTAGATCTGTGCTTGGATGGTAACCCTTCAGAATATAGGTGGAGCTATCTATGCCAGCGTTTCTCAACCTCAGCAATGGTCCCTCTCACCTTGAAAAGTTGGGATCAGCAAGGAGAAGCCTTTTTTTATGCAGGAAAGATTACTTCCTGGGGTACAGAGGAGCTCCCACTTTTGAAGCCCTCACCCTAATTTCAAGTCAACAGCGGCACACAAAGGTGAGGCACTCTGTGGTCTCAGGAGCACAGCATCTGGTGCCCAAGGTGTACATTAGCCAATACAACAATTGTGAAATATAGTTGTTAGACAGGCAGGCTTATAAATGAATGACATAAATAAGCAAATGAGATAGATATAAATGCTGAATAAAGATATTTGGTATCTGGCCAAACATCTCTGAACCTGGAAGCTAAGCAGGGTCAGGCTTGATTCATACTTGACTGGGAGACACCAGAAAATCCCAGAGCCAGACCAGGAAGTCCAAAACTGGCTTAGAAGAAGGAAGTGGCAAAACACTTCCAAAAAGTGGTCAAAGAATCAACACTGCTGTGTCCATGCTGAGCAAATTAAGTTAAGCTCAACTGAGGGGCAACTTTATCCTTTTTGGCCCAACCGACCCAAAACAATTTACACCAACTTTAGTCTTCAGATGTCCCATTATTCCTATGATGCAGAAAAGCAGCTGCCCCATATTAAGCCACATATAGCACACTGAGAGCATTTATTTTATTTTTATTTATTTTATCAAATTTCTCCCCCGCCCATCTCCCCCCAGTGGGGGACTCTGGGTGACTTACAAAAACATTAAAACCATAAATACATAAAATACATAATACATGATACAACCATCAGCTCTTTTCTGCTTAGCAAAACCTCTCTTTTATACGCACTGGAGGACGCTCCATGCTCATGACCCCTAATAAAACAAAGATATCTTTATTTATTTAAAAGATCTGTACGGCCACCCATCTTAAAACACAGCTCTGGGCAGCTCACAGCAGTAAACCGTTGGGTGTCTCTATATAGCCAGTGTCTGGATTGGAGCCTTGAAGAAGTCTGCCCAATCACTCCCACTGGGCTCTTCTAATCAGCAAGAAAAGGCCAACCAACCTAACTTCTACCCATGGTTGGTTTAAGCATTACGTCCTAACCAGGATCCCCGACTTACAGGGGTGTGCATGAAAAGGCAAACATATTCTGTTTCAAACCCTAAACAGACACCTTAAAAGAGGAGCAAAGGAACAGGATGCACAAGCCTATTTGTGCATTCACTAAGCTACATGAACTTCACTTGTGGCACCTTTGTGGTTCCTTCAACAACCCCAGTAAATTTTCTTCTGAATATTTTAAGTAGCAATTCCGAAGAAAGGGGCTGCGGAAGAGGAAAGGGGTAAAAAAAAGAGACATCTACACTCTAATAAGAGGCTGCAGATGCCACGTGCCAATGGTGCGTCAGCGTGGAGCCAGATTGGCAGAAGTGTTCCCTGAACTTTTGATGTTCTTCTGTCGTGGCAAAGGATTGTTGATAGTAACATGAGAAACATAATAACTGGGATTCAAATAAATATTTACCTGAAAGAAAGACTAGCTATTTTACCACAATAATTTAACTCTATTTTGTCTTAGATCTGCCAACGTGGCCAGTCTCCTCTACCAGAGGTTAGCAGCCTCAATGTGCTGGGAAGCCTTGGTAGTCAGTCAACACTTGTCCTCATGGCAACCCCATTCTTTCTTCCATTTCATCTTATTTTCTGAGCATCACATCCTCCTTGGCCTTGAGAAAGACAGCTATTCTCTCCTGCTTCCCAATGACCATCTCTCACCCCTTTTAGAAGAATCTTGGCTAAGATCCCTTGCAGTCATGAAACACAAGACTTCAAGAGGACACTAGCCCAAGACTGCAAGCCTGTTAAGAAAACAAACAGCGATGCTAAGCCTCCAGACATGGAGGAATGTGGGATACTGGTTTATTTGACAAGTGTGTTGGTGGTCCAAGGAGAGGATTTAAGATGGACACTTCATGTGGATGATCAAAAAAAATCTACATATAATATCAACGTCACAACCTTTGCCAGCCCAGAAGAGTCTTATTATGGACAAACAACTCAGCTACCTTAGTTATATCGGCCAGGTTTAAAACAGAGGTATTCTCTTCTCTCTTTTTTACTGTATTATTTTATTACAATATTGTAGTAAAAGTACAACTCACTACTTGTACATATTGTACTCTCCCATCCTTCATAGCATGTTTGTTACAACAGTTCTTTTATAGGGCAATGAAATCCATTCATGGGCAAAATAAAAACAGATTTATTACCTACAACATATACAAAGTTTCCCAATAAAGATGCTTAAGGCACATCATCTATTTGTATGCCAGTTTTAGATTGTACAAGCCTTGAATTTTAACTTTTCCCCCTTAAAATAATACTCTAGGTGATGCACATAAAGCTTAATATATAAGAAAAATAGCTTTGACACACAGAACTTCCATTTTAACCACTGAAACATTCTTGTAAAAAAGTCAATGACAAAAACATTCAGAAACAAACATGCTGTTTAAAAGAGCAAAATAGAATAGAATAAATGGCAGAATAGGTAAATTAAGTGAATATAATATTTATAACATTAAGAGGGCTCACCAACTCATTGGGCAATTTTGTCAAAAAACCTCTAGAGGCCAAGCAAAATGAGCAAAACTCTCTTACCAGACTCTGTTCCTTCCACTCATAGAAACCTCTGGTGAACCAAAGAGCCTTCCATAAGATAATTATGGATGAAGTGAATGGTCTTCAGCACTGTGAGTTTGGCCACCTGGGTTTTAGATCCCTGTCCCTCCTGACTGATTAAAGCTTCCCAGGAGGTGATGGGTGGTTGGGTCCATGCAATGTGAATGCTTCTCTGTGAAAGGGAGTGGTTCCACCTCCCTTGAAAGAGGTGGCTTTCCATCCTTTTCCATGGTTGGCCTATGCTCCAGAGAGTCCTAGAAGAAGCGAATTATCTGGAGCCCTTCCAGTCAGGACTCAGGCTTAGTCATACTGAGAGGGTATTGACTGCACTAACTGATGACCTTTGGTGGGCTTGGGATGAGGGCAGTGCATCCATCCTGGCTCTCCCTGATCTCTTAGCAGCCTTTGATACCATCGATCATGGCATCTTTTCAGCTGGCTTAGGGATTGGAAGGTATAGTGCTATGGTAGTTCTCATTTCTCTACAGCTGGTTCCAGTCATCTCCATTTCTTCCAGGAGAGAATTGAGTCTGAGGCCACTGCTTTATGGGGTGCCTCAGGGCTCCATTCTCTATCCACTCTTATTTAACATCTACATGAAGCTGCTGGGTTAAGTAATCCGTCAGTATGAAATCAAGTATTATCAATATGCTGATTATACTCAGTTATACATCTCTGTCCTGGGAGGACCAGGTGATGCTGTCAAAGTTCTTTCCCAGGGTCTGGAAGCTGTGGGGGTTTGGATGGGGGAGAAGAGGGTTTGGCTCAACCCTGGCAAGTCTAGATGGCTATGGGTTTTAAGGCTCTCCCAGATCCAGAAATTTTCCATCTCTCGTTCTGCCAGAGGTTGCACTTCCCCAATCAGAGTTGGTGTGCAATATGGGGCTCCTCCTGGACTCACAACTGGTGGTAGCTGTGGCTAGGAGGATCTTTGCACTGGTTTGTCTTCTGCAACAACAGTGACCCTTCCAGGACCAGGCGGCTTGCTGACAGTGACTCATGCCTTAGTCACCTCCTGTTTGGATTACTGTAATGTACTCCACATGGGGCTGCCCTTGAAGAGCATTCGGAAATTGCAGCTGGTCCAGAATGCAGTGGTACAGGGAGTTTTTGGCATTTCTCAGTACACCCGTATAAATTTTCTCCCTGAACCCAGATCTCTGTTCAGCCCACTGCTACACTTTCATGGATATGGTTAAGCACATTATTGCTCTACTTCAGTGATTCTGCAAATTCTGCTGCTGAGTTGCGGCTATTTCTACCTATTTATTTTTGGATTAGTTTGAAGGCTTACAGTGTAAATTATTTTATATTGTTTTAATTATAAAACTGCTCTGACAGGTATTATAGCATAATGAAATAAATACATGTACTATTATTTTTGAAGACACAGAGTTACCAATTTGTCTGCAAGTATGGTTAAAGTTGTAAATCAAGGGCTAGAAATCCCCCCTCTCCACTCCAAAATTATTCAATCTTCTTTCCTTGAAATTCTTTTACAACAAGATTAATACTAGATAGCCACCTGTATAAAAAAAATTAGAATTAGAATATGCTTAGCATGTTTGATAAACTGACACATTTATGTGAAGCTTTCACAAATGAAGATAGAAAGAGGGGTATGTATAAGAAATCTGTTTAATTTGATATATTCTTCACACTCTCCAGTCCCACAGCTAACAATTATGTCCATGCTAAAGCAGCTGCAAGAACAATGATTATTTTGACAGCTTCATCAGCATGCCGGTAGCTCCCATTATGGAAGGCTTTTTATTACAGAATGTAGGAAGGGAGACACAGAATCAGGGAGGGACAAATACCTTTAGGCAAATCCTGATATATATATACATACATACATACATACATACATACATACATATTGTGTGCGTGTGTGCATGTGTGCGTGCGTGTGTGTGTAATCTGGGTTGAACAGGGGGGTGAGGTTTAAGGAATTAAACCCCAAGCCACAGGGAAAAGATGCAGCTGAACAAAGATTGGAAGAAGAGATCTGGGAGGGAATGGTTAATCCAATGTTTCTCAACCTTGGCAACTTTTAAGATGTGTGGACTTCAATTCCCAGAATTCCCCAGCCAGCATGCCAGCATGCTGGCTGGGGAATTCTGGGAGTTGAAGTCCACACATCTTAAAGTTGCCAAGGTTGAGAAACACTGGGTTAAACAGTGTGAACAGCAAGGGGGAAAGGACTTACAATTTTAGGGAGTGGAAGACCTTTAGACTACTGAGGATAGAGTTCACAAGAGGAAGTATAAATGATAACCAGATATCACATGGAACAAGGCTATCAGAAGGTTTCAAAGCCAGGAAGAGGTTCTTTAAGCAATTTGAGAAATAATACCAGAGGCCAAATGTCAGCAAGGTGAATTATTTTGATGACAGACTTTTGGATAAAGTAGAAGAATGAAGTCTGAGAGAGAGAAAGGCAAAATAAGTAAAACATGGGAGATGATCACTGCATGAATCTGAGCTTGAGAAATGGAGAGGAATGAACAAAAGAAAAAATGGTACTCAAAGGTTAAGGCAGAAATACACACACACACACACATTGAGAATGGTGATGTAATTAGCAGGCATGGAGATTAATGAATGGCTGGATCTAACAGAGAGAGACATGGGATTAGATTGGCGTCCTCCAATCTAATGTTTGAACAATAATTCCCATCTAGTTCGGCCACCTAACTGCTCTATCTAGAGAGCGGGACTTGTAGTCTAACACATCCAGAGGACAACAGGTTGAGAAAGGATGAACTACGAGAGGAAAGGTATAAGATATAATGATTGCCACACTAATATATAAATTGCAAATACATAAACTGCAATGGATGGTGAAGCATAAATAGAAGGAAACCAAGAAGGGAAACCTGAGAGACACCAAAAGAGGAGAATGGGGTTAAAGAGCATTTGAACACACAACGTGAGAGACAGGAAGAAAACTAGCTAATGCCTAAGCGATGGAGACCTTCAACTTTGATCAAAGACATTAAAGTTGCCAAGAAGGTTGAAGACAAAGTACAGACCTTAGCTACTGCAGCAAAAATACCTACTATTTCAGAAAGGATATTTTTGGTAAAGAACGTAAACTGGATAACAAGGGATCAAGAGCAAAGTTGGAATTGAGAAACTCTTCAAAAGTGAATAATAACTTTGAAGAGTATAGAGGTAAA